CTGCAGATGATAGGATATTATTTTTTATTTTTATTTTGTTTGCTTTCTAATTGTCCGCATAGCTCTGAAGGTGATCACGGCAAGACGACAAGACGAAACGACGACACGACGACAGCAAGTTACTTTTCGCCAACGTCTAATCGCTTGAGTAATTGCATTCCGGTTTTCAGTGAAACGCAATTTTTTTACGGATTTGCTTTCCTTTTTCTTTTGCAAGCACAGCCATCCATTTTGAATGAAATGTGTGTGTCCGTATGCAGATGTTTACAGCTTCTTTTATGCAACGTAAATCGATTGATTCAAGCTCCTATCGTTCGAGTTTGAATAAAAATAAGCGATAAGCGGAATTGCTTTTTAAAAATTTTCCCTTGAATAGATTTCCTCTCTAGACACTTTAGTTTCTCGTCATAAAATCACAGTATTTTGCAATTTTCATTATCTCTTTTCTAAATCAAATATACAATGAATATTTGCTTAAAAGCTTTACAATTCCCTATGTATAGACGATAATCCAATCACACAATCACAGGTAATTCAATCATAGGTAATCGTTACGTTTTTTTTTTTTTCTAATGCCATAAAAATAATCCGTTAATCCATTTTAGGTAAAGCATTTTAATGCGACATTGATCCTGAGATTAGCATTCCGTTTCTCTTCCTCTTCATTGCTTCTTCATTTTGATAGCTCGAACCTATCGAGAAATCGATTAGGATTATTGGAATCGATTTGATCTTTAAGACGGACTACATCACTTGATCGATATGCTATTGATGAAAATATGTATATGTATTCTTCCTAGAATTATGTTATCTGTTTAGCTATATTGCATGTATTTACATGCAGGTGCTACAAGAGAATCTAAGTAGCTAAGTAGCTAAGCTTTTGTCGATTTGCAGATTGTTGAATTTATGCGAAAGGACCGAGAGAGACGAAGAATGTCATCTCATCACGAATATGTAACGTACATGCATTATAAGATAGACCTGTAACAGAGAGTAAAATGGCAAAATATACGCGGTGTTCACGCAATCGATGATCAAGCATAATGGTTGCATAATCAAGATCTTAGTTGTTGAAATCCTTTTGAATCTGTTTATAAATTTTTATGTAGCGTAATTCCATCAATTGTCACATATGACGCAAACGAAAAATGCCGCATTTCGAGATAAACAAAATACACAACCATATAAAGAGAATACCAAAAACTGAAGAGCAGTTTGGCTAAAGTGCTTTACGAAGTCTCGTTACGGGGGGCGTCCTTCTATTCAGCCCGATCGTTAACGATATTGACTTTCATTAATTGCGATCGAATTATGAGTTAAGAGTTGTGATTATACTGCTTTAACCAAGCAGCTGCTTCGATATAGTTTGTTTTTGAGTTTTTTCGCTACGAACTTGTAAATAGACTCAATAAATTATTTTATCTAACTAGGAATTACTTGTTTTTCATTATCTTATATAATATGATATGTATTTTGCTATAAATATGAGAAAAAGAAATTCTAATAAAAATTTGGAGAAACAATTTTTAAAGAAAACAGCACACACAGTATGTAGATAATACAAGCCATTAACCTATTTCGCCCAGCAGGATTTACGTTAGCAATCAAAAAATACAAAAGGAATCTTTATGTTTGTTTGCCGTTTGGCTTGTTTGCCTCCTCAACTCTTGTGGCAATGTAAACTCATATTATGTTCGCTGTGCACAACTAATCGGCACCTGGAAACGGCAAAACCTATATACATATCTATCAGCAGTAACAGTAACAGCAACAGCAACAGCAGCAGCAGGTCAACTAGCAATGAATTCAAACGAATTTCTTAACTACTCAACCGCATTTATATCGGGTACGGTCATTAAAGCCACATAATAGTCTCAGTATGCTAAAGAGCGTCTATAAACTTATTCACAGAGCCAGCAACAAAGCAGATTAAAAGCACAAAAAAAAAAAAAAAAAAAAAAAAAATTTTAAAAAAAAATATATATAAAAAAACGTTCAATTCATTGGAAAGTCGTCATAAAATTTCAAGTTTAGAACCCCAAAAATGGCTTATAAATCAAAATTCACCGCTTGAAAATGTCAAAAAACCCTGAAGAAAAAAGAAAAAGTTAAAATAAATCCACACATGATATTGATATTTTGGCGCATATAGTTAACCGCAAAAACCCTATCTTGTGCGCTAATTTAACGTTTTATCTTAAATATTAACCGATATTGCCGCCAACAAAGAACGGCACACACATTGAACTAACCCCGCTAAAGTATTCATGCAGAGTAAGAATAAAAACAGAAAAAAGAAAAAAAAAAATAATAATCATAATAATAATAATAATAACAATAATAATAATAAATAAATAAATAAAAATAAAAAGCGAAAGAAAACCGAGATTTTATGCAAAGCTTTTTTTTTCTTCTTGTTTTTTTGTTCCTTTTTTTTTTTTTTTTTGTTTAGTAAACGAAAAACAAATTATATCGCCATTCATTGCTTAGCGAAATAAGAATTCTCGCGCTATCGGTATTTGTAGCATCTACTGGTAGTTAACAACGGCAAAAACAACCTATACATACATAAATTCGAGAAGGATATAAAAATCAAGTTCATAAAAATGTTTATAATCTTACAAGCGTTGATGATGTGAATCAACATAAAAATAAAACCACCTCTGAAGAGACAGACGTTCAAATTTGTTATTGCTTCTTTCATCAACTCAAACTAACCGAAAATGCAAAAAGTCTTGAACATATTTATGCCTATACAGATAGATGTATATATATTTGAAGTGTTCTAAATATTATTGCGGTTATAAAGTGGAACTCGTTCAAAAAAAGAGAAAAAAAAAAAAAAAAAAAAGAAGAGAAAAACACAAAACAAAAGAAATGAAAACTAATTCTAGATTTTCATATCATAATGACTATAAAATCGTTGCTAAATAAACTTCCAAAGTTAACTCACTCGAAACCGAAAGCATAAGGTTCCGCAAGCATATAATTTCAATAATCAAAAATCTTTCCATTCATTTCTTCTACTCATAAAAGTAATGCGTTTCAAAAATATATTTCATTTACATAAGCCGGATTCGAAACGAATAAAATTCTAATTGCGTTACATTCGTGTTATTGGGTCGCCGGTAAATTAATTCGTTTCATATCTATCCTAACATACAGCAAAGCATTTTTCTATTTCCAAAATCGATAATTTCGATCCAGCAAGTCCGCGTGCGCAACCGACTAGGTAACGATCGCGACGAGCAGGTTTGTGCGTTGGCGCGTTAAAATCTCAATGCTGTCCACTTAACACTTATCGATTGGGCAGACACCCAGTAAGGCTGAGATCGCTTGCCTTTCCCTTTCTCTTTCTTTACTTATTTTCGACCGTCCCCATATTACGCGAACATGGGACCATAATAAAAAGAAGAAGAAAGAAATCAAAACAGATTTCAAACGCTATGTTACTTAATTAGTTTATCTCAAAGAAAATATATTTAAGGGAAAGATGATGCCGTCATGATTGGAATTGGGATTGATATAGACTTTGATTTAGACAACTAAAATATATGATGATTTTGAATTTGCGGCACACACACTCTTCACGTCAATAAAAGTTAGTCTATGGAAGGAGTTTCAAAATTGATATAGGGAAATAATAATTGTTTACGATCCCATGTTAAATTGTTAACAGTGTCGTAACAGCTTGAAAAACGTCAGTTCATAGGCGGTCCAATTCGTAAAGATTGCTTAACAGGAAAAAGAAAATCTTCTCACAATATTATTACATAATTGGGAATGGGAAGATAGGTTTCGCTACAGGATTTGCTCTAAGAGCAAAGGAGACACTTTCCAAGCGAGCCGAGCGGGATTCATATAAACATGTTTCAGTCTTTTGTATACCAATAAGAAAATATGGATGACTGACTCCATTAAAGGAAAACGGAAGTCATATAAAATCCTCAATGTAATTCATGTCCTTAGGATAGAAGATACCCAATTCACTCATGAGGAGTGAATTGGGTATGATATCTATATGTGTCCACTAATAGCTCCAACTTAACCCCTCGCTAGTCCTTGCTTGCAATCAGTTTTACAATTAATTAATCAACTTCCCACCCATCACTTATACACCGCATCGTCTTCGTCAGAGTGAGTTACATGGTTTACATTATGGTTTTTTACGTTATAAGGCATATTTGCAAGTATCATTTACCCGATATTCGAGATATGCTTTAAATACATCCTAATATTTATTGTATTCCTTACGTCCGAAATTATAGTTTACATTTTGATTTTTCTTATCTCTAAAAATATTGTGTGCATTTGCAACTAGAATTCCTAATGCCATTAGATTAGGTTTACAACTTGGACACGTTTTCGACATGTCTACCTATACAATTATATATATTATATTTCTTCGGTAAAAATATATGGTTTGTTTTTTGATTTTTTTTTCTTCTTACGCGAAATATGATACGAACTTCGAGTTTTTATTAAGATGTACGATGTTACAAGCAAAGCAAAATTAAAATAATGATACGTTAACGTCACTTTTTTATGTTTTTTTTTTTTTTTTATAAACTATTAACCATATATTTGGAAAACAAAAAAAAAATGGTTTATTAATAGCTAGAGAAGGAGAGAGAACTCGTTTGTATTTACCATGATCCAAGGCAAACGCTTGTTAAAAAAACTTCATCGGTCAAATATTTGTCTAAAATGCGAATTGTTCTTGTTATAGCAAGCGCTTTGAGAAAAAGTGTCATTAAAGGTATGCTTTTGTAAATTATTTTCAGTTTGTTTAGCGCTATTGTCGACAATTGGGGGATCGCGTAGACAGACCTTCGGCAGATAGACATAAAACAGTAATAATAGTTAATTCGGTTCCACTATGGCCGAATGTTGCGAGACTTGAAAATTAAATTATTTCGCTTGTTCTGTGAAACTTGGCAAATCATTGGAAAATAACTTAAAACATTTGAAAATTATAAAATTATGTACTTTTTCAGGTGTGGTTTCAAAATAAACGCTCGAAAGAAAGACGAATGAAACAAATAACTAGCATGGGTAGACCACCGTTTTTCGGTGGTGCGAGAAAGATGCGAGGTTTTCCCATGAACTTATCCCCCGGTGGCCTTGATGACGGTCCAGGCTTTCCTTACTTTGCTGCCGATGGTAAATTTGAATTTGGCTATGGACCTCCTTTTCATCCTCACGACGGGCCTTTTTTTCCCGGGCATCCCGGAGGACCAATGCCTTTTAATGCACCCAGTAAGTTTAAATCAATTGAACGAGCATGAATATGTTTCCTTGGGCGAATGAATGAATGAACATGAATGCATATGCGTGTGTGTGAGTGTGTGTCTACGTGTGTATGCTTCTATGTATCTAAATATATAATTTATAAAAGGAAAAAAAAAAAAAATTCGAATATTTTATCTATTTAGGCGGACCAATGGATCACGCGGGACCCATACCCATGGTCAATGAATTTGGCTTAACGCCAGAATCAAATTTTTTAAGCCAAGCCGGCGGACCTCCAATTAATATACAATCGGCTGGTGGTCCTCAACCATCAACCGAACATCTTTTAGCTGCTCAGCAACAACAACAACAACAGCAACAACAGCCACCGCAACCGAACCAACCAAATGGACCACGTCCAACATCGCCCGAATTCATGACAGCGGCGAATTTCAGCGAACCTCAAAATATACAAAACGAACAGCTTGTTTGGTAATATACAAAACAACTGGCTACGCGTTTACTCATATGGAAAACGCTAGCCGAACACCAAGGACTCCAAAGACAAAGTCAAGATTAATACGTCAATACGATCAATGCGTCAGAATTGCTTACTGAAAGAATAAACAAAAAAAAAAAACAAAAAACAAAAAAAACACTAATTAAAAAAAAAAATAGAAAACTTGGCAACAACTCGCCCCCTCTCTCCACCCAAAACGTTCTCAAACTCTCTTAACGGACGACAGATTCTTAAAAACAGACCACCAACAATAAGCAAATATTGTTATTGTTTAGCACTTAAATTATAAACAAAAAAAAAAAAAAAAAAACACAAAAAAAAACAACACAAAACACAAACTTATAAAACTGAGAAAAAAAATAAATAAAACTAAAAAAAAAAAAAGAAAAGAAATTTACAAAAAAACGTTCTTTCGAAAATCATGGCTGCTTGTTGTTAAAAGATAACATGCGTTGCTGCTAAAGTGAACTAAATTAACTTAATTATGTATTTAATAATAAAAAGAAATCTAAAATATAAAATTAATTAGGAGAATATATAAAAAAAAAAAAAAAAAAATTAAGAAAATAATAAAAAATCGATTAATTATTTTATTTTATTTCATTGTAAATGCGTGTATGTAAATTATAGAGGAAAAGGCAAAGAGCCTGTAAACAATTGTAGAAAACACCTCACTCGATATCTGTGGCAAGTAACAAAAAATTTATGAATTAAAATAAAATAAAAACAATTATAAAAAAAGTAAATAAAATAAATAAATAATTAAACTAATTTTAGCATAAATTAAATTTTGTAATTACATTTATATATATATATATATATAAAATATATATATAACCCGATCACCATCACTTTTGCCAAATGTTTAATTGCCTGCCAGGCTCCAGTCCGCTAAGTTCGTTTTTGTGTTGTCAAATGGCCCAGCAAGCTATAATCCTATCCTCCTTCTTCCCTATCCTGCTCATGTATTTATTATTGAAACCCTTTTCAATTTCTTGTTTTCATCCAAAAAAAAAAAAAAAAAAAATTGAAATCATTATAAATCAAAAATTCAAGCACCCACACCACCCAATACCTTACCACCTTAATATAATCTAGAAATTGTCCATCCACAACCCCATAAGAATCCATATATATGTATGTATATATCCTTGATCAGTAAAAGATTCTGAGCCAATTTAATCATTTGTGCCCATTGTGTCTTATCTGCCGACGGATCACTCACTCAAGTTTCCATAAATTTCACGCTACATATACAGCGTAAAAATGGACGTGATCCATTTTTACGAAAAGAGTTTAATAATACATTTCGTATTCGTTGGCTCTTTTTAGCTCTACATTTTGCGGCGTCCGTTCTGTTACACACTTCACTTATATTCTCATATACTTTCATTAAAACTGTCTTCATCATTTGCATTGCTGTGTTTTTCATCTTGTTCATCTTCTATTCCGCGGAAAAAAGTGTTTTTACATTTCCTATGATAAACATAATAGTTTCCCGTACCTTAAACTACCCGGTTTTTTCGTTTTACATTTTATCGATTATAACGAGTCAAAAAAGATTAAAAAAAAAAAAAAAAAAAAACAATATTCGCATTCAAATAAAACCACTATGGCAGTAATACTTTCTTCTTATACTTTGATTCCGGCTGCATGCTTGGGTCTGAACGAAAAAGCCGCCAAACTTAGCATTGGACGGACGGAAGGATAAATTGATGCTAATTGCGATTTAAAATGAGCGTCGATTCAACATTCCGATCGAATCCAAATTGAGTTAATATTATGCATATATTTGCCGAGCTACGCTCTCTTGCACAGCGATTTCCAAAATACACTCTTTCTGGTGCTTTCCTAATACGTTTTCCCGCCCATTTTCAACAAGCTTGACAAAAAGGGGTCATTGTAAATTATTTCAAAGTGTTTTTCCTCTAAACACATAGCGAAAATTCGTATAAACCGACCTTGTCTCTATGTATGTTGTAAATGTCTTCATAATGACAACTGTCCAATGTCCAATGGATATGACAGTTGAAACATTTCAAACTTGACATTTTGGATGCCAAGTGTTTAGAACAATTCAATTTTAAGTTAAGTAGCATTAGATAAAGCCAAGATAGGACATCATTGCTTATATCTTGAGCGTTAAGCATATCGCATATTTCTCAATCCTTCTTTCATTTCAATATTAGCTATGCCGGCTTTTACATCTTTAGAGTGTAGACACTTCATTTCATTTGCAAAGTCATGCACTACGTAGAGTCACAAATAAATGCTCTTGTCGCAATAGATGTGAGACGCTAAGCGGTACCGATGACCGTAAACACATTAACTCCGCACGCCAATCAATTCTGAGAGAGCTGTCCGTTATCAAAGCCAATTACTAAGCCATGCTTAAACATACTGTGTATTGAATAGAATTGTTAAGTTCGAAAATAGTAAAATATATAATGACTGCGGTCAGTTTATAGCTGTCTCGATTATCGAATTAATACCCAATAGCGGGTTTACAGTTGCCTATTCTACACTGACGTCATATAATCACCAAAAACACAAAAAAATAAATAAATAAATAAAAATTGAAAAAAGTAAAAAAATAACTGAGGCTGTGAGATGAGAAGACCCTAGAAGCGTAGGTGTTAACCGATTCCTTTTCCATTTTGCTATTATATCCAAAATACAACATAGATCAGCAACAACACACTACAGAGCGAAAATAAAATACTCGCATTTTAAGCGCAGCTTCTTAAACTCCCTCCATAATAGTAAATATAAGTTCCACATTGGCTGCGACATAAACCTGGGTGTATTCTTTCTTAACATTTCTTCGTCGTTATATTCAAAAATTTTGATTTTCTTAATGATCTCGATGATGATGATGATGATGATGATGATGATTAATGCGTAAGGACCAGCTTGAGCTGAGCATTATGCTAAACTATTTCTTTTTTATTATTTCATACCTAAGCGTAAAGATTCTTCCATATGAGTAGTAGTAGATGCTCTTTGTTAACTTCAATAGAAGAATTATGAGAAAAAGACATTGTCCACTACCAAGCGCGCATGCAATTGCAGAGAAAAGTGAAAAATGCTAAACTAACTAAATCCTTACCCGCATGTTGTCCACAACACACAGTTATGGCAATCGTTCTTTATAACTAACTAAAGATCTTTCAGCTTGCGATTTTCGCCGATAATTGGCTACTTATAGCCATTTTTCACAGACTGAGCAATGGTCCAAAGCGGCGCAATAGTATGTTTCCTTTAAAAAAAAAAAAAAAAAAATATATGAATAATTTGTTTCACTTAACTCTTTACGTTTTTCTACATCGTCCGCTTGCGTTCCTCTCCATCCCCGCTCGCCCGCTCTACCCATCAAAACAACACATACTTTATGCCTAAGAACCCAAAACATTAGGTATGAAGTTATAATCATACATATATACAAATGCGTAGCTAAGTAAGTTTGTGACCCAATAAAATCGGAATCTATTTAATCAACATTTCTAGCGAAGTAAAAACAGACAAAACACAATCAGCAACAAAAAAAAATAAAAAAATAAAAAAAAAAATAAAGAAGAAAAGAAACTAAAATTATTTAAAAATAAATTAATATTAATTATTGTAAAATGTAAAAAGATGATTAGGTTTTAGTTTATAATAATTATTGTACTATTATTATTATTATGTATGAATGTATGTATGTATTATGTAAGAAAATATTATTACTTTATTTATCAGCAAATTATGTGAAATGAGAAAAAAAAAAGAAAAGGAAGGAACGAAAAAGGAAAAAGAGGAAAAAAATTACCTAAAATACAAGACAAAGAATAAAGAAAAAAATTGTTAACTAAAAGAAAAATAAATTTTCGAAATTTCGTTTATTTCAAATGATCAAATCGGACGCATTCGTACAATTGGTTTCCTTTTCAATAACTTGATTTTTTTTCTTTTCCTATTTTCACCCGCCCCCCTGCACACCATATCGTCCAAGGCAACCGTCGTCAGTTTTTCTCATTTATCCGCGAATTACGTGGCACAAGGCCCCTACGAACTATCCGTCAAAATAACAAATTTTAAAATTCTTGGCTTAAACAATTTGCAACAATTTCGCTAACGATGGTTTTTAAAAAAAAACGAAAAAGAAAAATTCCAAAAAACCATTCGCTTTCTTTTCTATGATTTACGGACTGCTAACGGAATAACTACTAATGGAATTATACTGCGCGGCATTATTACTCGCCTTCATAACTTAAGGCAATGTAATCTTAATTCAACGCAGATTTAAGATGCTATTGAACGGTGGCTAATAGAAGGATTTTGGGCATCTGACAAAAACACACCATTGCTCGCAGTGTTGGATCGTGTGATCTCCAGAACCTTATTATTATTTACGCTAATGGTCAAAGTTTTTTGTTTCAATTTTTTTCACTCGACTGTCCGAATACCAAGTTTCACTTGATTTACTTGAAATTCGAATAATTTCGCCTCACATAAATTCGTCAATTTATTGGAGATATGTCGGCACACCATTAATTCTAGTCTATTATTTTTACGATTCTGGACATCTCCTTCAATGGATCCGAGTACTATATCCTGGGAACGAAAAATGTAAGTTGTCTACTTTAATTTTTGTAAGCACAACAACGTTAACAATAAATTGACGGAATGATCAACGGGTCGCAATAATAAATTAATTACACGCACACACATCAGCTTTATAATAATTTCCGTAAGTATTTCCTCATCCTTACGAAAAATACTTTGTGGTTTTCTTCTTTTTTTTTTTTTAATTATCATCGTAGTTATAGGCATGTTTTTGGGCGGATCAATGGCTATATTTGCACTTTATCAATTGACAATCTATCCCTGGTTGAGTTGATCGCACAGACTCGCAAGTCGTCTCATAACCTTCGACAAATCAAGAATGCATCGGTTTTATAGAGCTTTCTGCTACCTCTGCTTCCCTTTCTATTCTATCTATACCCTACATCACTAATTAATAATCCTCTGGAGTGTACACACTTGCAAATGCGGGTAAAGTACGAGCCTTCGGGTCTATTTTACAAATCCGATAAGCAAAAAGTAAGAAAATTATATTTGATGTGAATTGAATTTTGGGTATCGAATGACGTAAGATCTTGCTATATAAAAAAGTTAATTGCATGCACGCCCCCAGGTTCGTTTTTCTCCCCTTTTTTGCAACTTTAAGTATT